TTTGTATGAACATTTTTGAATCAATATAATGACCATGATTTTGAAACTAAATACCTGAGATAAACGTAGATGTGACGTATGACGAAGACCAAAAACCCATAGCTTGAAGTCATTAAAAACGATGTCAATAAGAAATCAAATGTGCCGCCCCGTTATACGTAAAAAAAGTTGTTTTGGGTCAATGGCACAGGCGCGGTCGCAGCCGCATCTCCCGCGTGGCAGGTTAAAGCGCGCCTTAACTTTTTTTTTTAAATTGATTCCGAATCCATGACGGCAGTTTTTTACTTTTTATAACGGACAGATGTTGTAGGCCTTATATTAATCATTTTATTTTATTTACTACTGGCTAAGAGTAAAGATCGTACGTGCAATTTTCTTTCAACCAGGATTAAATTTTAAGCACGTTAAGAATGTGTTGTTAAAAGTTCCGAGTGACGAAAATGTGGCAAATATTATGTTAATTACAATAATTTTATTATAGTTAAGAGCCGTGGTTGCTCAGGGAATTGAATGTTGCTAGCCTTAAAATTTTAATTGTCCGCGAGGAAAACCGAATTCGACGGACGTCAGTCCGAAGTCAGCATTGAAATTTTATTTTTTGATTTACCGTTATAATTATGTTCGATGGTTAAGGAAAACATCGCGAGGAAACTTTCACATCTGAGTAACGCGACGAACTTTTTAGAGTAGAGGACGAGAGAAGAGCGATCGTTTACTCCAAAAATTTGACTGTAATTTTACTTTTATATGTTTCAGCTGAATGTAGATTGATGAAATGAGTAAGGAGTGACAGACTTAATACTCAATAGTATAAAAATAAATTAAAAAAAAACATACGTGAGTTTAAAGGTATTTCTTAGGTTTTTAACAATACTCTATCGTCGAAATATGTTAGGATCGCCACTTTTACAATTGTACCTCAAAAGGCAAATGGCATTCTACACTTTAAGTTCACAAAAGACAGCTTAACATAAATTCCGTATAAATCTGCCATATCAAAGACGAAGACAAACATAAGCCTGTTTAATTCAAGGCATTACAAGTACAACGGAATGTTAAACTATTGTAGGAATCTGACTGGAATATATTAGATGAACCGACTATTTGCATCGTAGGTGCATTAGGCGATCTATTTAAATCGGAAGGGGCAAACGAACCCCACACTATACGAGAATTTACATATAAATATAGAGCTTTATTGTTAGTACGCTGAAAATTTCTTTATTATGTTGTATTTTGTGCGGATCGCCTAATCCGCTCCTATGTTTCTAGTTTCCATTACAGTCTGTCAAAAGTATACTTTATACGTGGTAAAAATATGCTGCAGTTGTATTAGTAGTATAGTTGTAGCAAGAATGGATCGGCTCGACCGGGGAAGGACCACGCTCTCACAGAATACCAGCGTAAAATAGTAGCTTAATGCTGCTCTGTTTTATGGTGAGTGTAGAGAACCGGAAACCATTTTTACTGTGAAAACGCATTTGCATTTTGATTCGTAATCGATAGATGTAGATGTCTATGGGCCACAGCAACCACTTACCATCAAGTGGACTGTATACTCGTTTGTCACCCTATCCTATAAAAACAATGTCGCCTCCAATCTGTTTGTTATATTATGAGGATCTCAAATTGTATAGCTTATTTTATAATGTAAAATGTTACTGTTAACAAAAAATCCCGCTGGCTTTCTTGCTGCTTATTCCCAGGATAGAGTTTTTATTCCGATTAAGTTGTCAAAGTTAACAATGACTTTTAATAAGTATCATTTATAATCTACATAGAATAAAAATTATGCTATAGTACTCTTGTCTAGTAGAACTTTTCTGTAGCTAGGTGTATGCCCCACCCCCCCACCCCAAAAATATTATTTTTTTTAATAAAAATTTAATATCCCACATCCAAAAAAAATTAATTTTTTATAAAAAAAAAAAAAAAAAACAAAAATTTTTAAAATAAAAATTAAAAATTATAGTTAAAAAAATTTCCCCCATTTCAAAAAAATCCCAAAATAAAATTAAAACATTATTTTAAAAAAAAAAAAAAAAAAAAAATTGTAAATTTAAAAAAAACAAAAAAAAAAAAAAAAAAAAATAAAAAAAATAAATTTTTTTTTAAAATGAAAATATTTTATTTTTTTTTTTTTATATTAAAAAAAAAAAAAAAAAAAAAAAAATAAAAAAAATATAAAATAAAATATAAAATTTAATTTTTATATTAAAAAAAATTATAAAAAATTTATAGGTAGACATCACCTTCTGTCGTCCGACAGCAATACATACTCTGCTGCGTTCCGGTCCGAAGGGTATAAAGAGCCAGGATCTTAGTCTTCAAAGGTGACAAAGCAACTACAGCCTTCTTAATTTGAATTTGGTTGCAATTCAAATTGTCTACAGTAGCCACATTAGGTGGTCTGTTAGCTCGTTGGTCACTAAAATTTTATAAAAAAAACCCTTGATGTCTGCTGGTACAGAACAATACAAAGCCTACTAATCATTCACTATTAGGGAACACATTAATCATGCATCGCAAAACGCACTTTACAAATGATCAAGGAATAGACAATATAGCTGTACGGTGTTTGACAGTAATAAATAATGAATGTAAGTAAATAATGAGTATAACAATCGCAACAAATCCGTCTGGCCACGTTCCTGCTCTCGCGTTCCGTGAAACTTAACTGGGCCTGACCAGACCGGCCTTCAATAAGGGCTGCTTTACTACACTAGTACACGCGAAGAGTGCGTAATAAATTATCAAGTAGAATTCAATTATCCTTTTGATTCTTATCAGTGCTTTCAATACATATGTATGTATTGAGAGCATTGATAAAAATCAAAAACATACTTTATAAGAATTTAATTTAAAGATTGGTTTCATAAGCAGAATTAGATACATATCTTCATATTTCTCTTTTTTTTTCAAGAAGGGTGACAGAATAGCACGAAGTCCGACTGGTACTAAGTGGAAAGAAAGAACGCATTACTAGTAAAAAGAGTCTCCGGTAGTCTCCACTCCACCATACTAAACACAACAATATATTGCTATTTAACGTCGGTATACCTACTGCGCGTGCGTAGTAACTCTTCCTTGTAACCCTACATTGACCTCTTATCGCTGACATTGCATTTTAGTAGATAGGAGTGAATTTTCTGTTTGCGCGTAAAATGATTACCCTCGCAAATTGAGGTGGAAATACGTAATGTATGTAATTGGAAACCAGGAAGGATGACATTGCCATCAGTATGACATATGAAGTTATAATTTGTTTGAAATAACCGAGATAACAAAATTATATTATTTTACTCAACTGTTGTAAACGGAATTTCATCTTTATACTATAAATACTAGCCATTCGCTCCGACTATGCTCGGGTGATTTCTGGATTTCGACAACAGCGCCACCTACCGACTATGGCTAAAAAAAAGCCAGTTATCACAATGTACCCCATGAAAATTTCATCATAACTGGTCAAGCTGTTAAGCCGAGAAGAATTACGAACGTCCCGTGTTTTTCTTACACAATTTATGATAGATACAATTTAGAGATAAATGTGGTATGCAAGATGATGTTGTGACCAGGATTAAGAAAGGAATGCTTCGGTGGTTTGGTGATGTAGAAAGAATGAATGAGGAAAGAGTGACAAAGCAAATTTATATGGCAGATGTGAACGGCAGAGTCGAGAAGGGACGCCCTAGAAGAAAGTTTATCGACCAAATTGGCGATATTTTGAAAATGGGCCACGTTAGAAGTACCCTTAACCGACGAGCATGTAAAGAGGCGATATATGGATGTAAAGGAGGCGGATATATGGATGTAAAGGAGGCGAAAGAGGTATGTCAGGATCGTAACAAATGGAAGTCCGTAGTCTCTGCCTACCCCCCTGGGTGACAGGCGTGAGTGTTTATGTATTATATATGTATGTAATTTATGATATTACTTTGGCGAGGTGTTTTTCTCACGTATTCTACGTAGTAACTGACAGACACTTCAAATGTATTTACATGTGTAGATTATTTTCATATAGCATGAAGCGAACAAATTATTCCTTCAGTAAATTATCTTATCCAAAATTTGTTCAGTGATCGGTAATTACATTTATGAAGCCACGAGCGAAATTGGTAAAGTTTGATCGAGCTATAGGACGACAAAGTTCTTGTCGTCCTATAGCTCGAATAAACTCTATGACAAATAAAGCATTGCGATGTATGCCGGGCACAGACAATTTAAATATCTATAAATGCCAAGACCTATAACATCGGCGGAAGCGACACATCTACAGATGACTAACTAATACTAACGGTCGTGTATCAGCTATTAATAAGCCGTACGAACTACGACTATATTGATCCCAAAATTTTCCCAATTAAGTTTTCTGAAAATTGATTCCAGTACAGCCGAGAATAATTTTTTTTGGGGACAGGGGGGTCGCCCTGTCTAACGCCTTTTCCTACTTTGAATGGCTGGCTTTTCCTATCTAACTGGATTCTGGCTGTACTATGACTGTACACGTTTTTTATTAATCGAATGTATTTGAGTTCAATCCCTTGTTCCACTAATGCTTCCCATATGTTTTTATGTAGAAGAGAGTCAAATGCTTTGCTGTAGTCGATAAAAGCAATGTAATATGTAAGCTGGTATTCGTTATATTTCTCAATAACTTGACGAACTACATGGATGTGGTCAATCACCGAGTAGTTCTTACGAAATCCCGCCTGCTCAATGGGTTGTTGTTCGTCTAGCGTTCTTTCAATACGTTTTAAAATGATCTTAGCGAAGATTTTGTAGATGTTTGACGTAAGACTGATGGGGCGATAGTTTCCGATTTCATGTTTATCTCCCTTCTTATACAACAGGATAATGTTAGATTCTGTCCATTGCTGGGGAATTATTTCAGTGTTTATAATATTGTTAAATATATCTGTAAGTACAGGTGCTAACACTTCCTTTCCTTGTCTTAAGATTTCGTTGCTTATGCCGTCAGGACCTGGTGTTTTATCTACCTTTTGAGTATCTATGGCTTTCTCGACTTCAGCTTGAAGAATGTTAGGAATGTTTGAGGTATCCACTAAATCAATTTCGTCTTCTGTTGTGTTACTTTCGTACAGTCTCTTGTAATAAGATGTTGCTATATCCAATATTCCTGTTCTACGATGATTCCATTTTCCACTGTCATTTTTCATTTTAACAATCCAATTCTTCGAATTTCTCAACTCTCTGTATGCTTTTTTGATTCCACCCGTTTTACTTATAAATGTTTTTATAGTTTCCATTCTGTTTAGTTTTCTGTCCTTCCTTATGCTATCTTTAATTTGTTTACTAATTTCCGTTAATTTTTTTCTTCTATCATGTGTATCTTTAGTGCTAATTAAATGGTTTCTCGCTTCTAGTAGCTTTTTGGTATTTGTTGTTAGCCATTTTTTCGGTTCAGCTTTGGTATTTGTAATTAGTTGTATTTGGGTTTTTATGGTATTTTCTATCCAGTTGTATCTTCCTAGTGTTCCAAATTCTTTTGTGTTAGATTCATAGTCTGTAAATTTGTCTATTAGAGCGATTGTTATTTGTTCCAACTGATGTTTTCCGAGCTTTGTGTTAAATAAGTCGTGTCTTGGTCTAGGTTTCTTTGGTTGATTTGATGCTAGTTCTGCTCTAATTAGTTTATGATTGGTGTTAAAGTTCAATGTCTTGATTACGGAAAAGTTAGTGAAGTAGTTGTTTCTGTTGGTCATTATGAAATCAATTTGGTTTTTTGTTTTGCCGTCTGGCGAGATCCAGGTCCACATGTTTTTCTTATTTTTCCTGAACATAGTGTTTAGGATGGTGAGGTTATTTTCTAGTGCGAAGTTTGTAATATGTTCTCCATTTCTACTTCTGGGCTTATTACTGTATGTGAAAGGTCCTAGTATTTTTTTTTCTTCCGGGCGCCTTTCCCCAATTTGACCATTACAGTCTCCCATTATTATAAGGTTTTTATGACCGTGCTCGTGGATCGCATTATTTAGATTAAGGTAGAATGTATTTATTGTATCTAGGCTTGATTGTTCAGTAGGCGAATATATTTGTACTATTGACCAAGGATCTTTATATCCAGGTAGTTTTAAATTCATTATAGCAATCCGCTCCGATATACCTATAAATCCTTCCACATGTTTTGTTATATGTTTTTTAACAATAAATCCAACCCCATGGAGTCCCGGGGTCTCTCCTATATGGTAGAATGTGTAATCTGGATACGATATGATATTTTCACCCATTCTTCTCACTTCACTGAGGCCAACAATGTCCCATTTGATGTGTTTTAAAGCATACATGAGTTCCGTAAGGTTTTCTTCACTTTTCAGGGTAAGTACGTTGAGTGCTGCGATAGAGATTATGGATTTGTTAATTTTGTTGTCACTTATTGTTGGAGGGTTGTGGTCTCTTTCCCCCAATAATATTCCCTCAATATAGACGGCACATCACTGACGCATTTAAGATTTGCTGATGATATAGTGCTATTCGCCAAAACACCTAAAGCCATCAATAAAATGATAGAAGACCTATCGATAGAAAGTGAGAGAGTAGGATTAAAACTCAATCCAGAGAAGACTAGAGTGATGACAAATGGAGAGAAAACCACGATACGGATAAGAAATACCGAAATTAACTACACTGACGAATACATCTATCTGGGACAACTCATAACCCAAAAAGAACCTATGCGCGAGGAAGTGAAGAGAAGAATTACGAACAGCTGGGGACGATACTGGAGCTTGAGAGAGGCTATGAAAGACAAACAACTTCATATAAACATCAAAAGCAAACTATTTAACACCTGCGTACTACCCGTCCTTATGTATGGCTGCCAATCATGGACTTTAACTCGTGAAATGACAAACAGGCTAGCAACTTGCCAATATGCTATGGAGAGGAGCATGCTGAATGTCAAAAGATCAGACAGACTGAAAAACTCTGTCATCAGAAATAAAACAAGAACCATAAATGTAGTACGGAAAATTAAAAGACTCAAATGGAGGTGGGCAGGGCACACAATAAGAGGTCATGATAAATGGAGTAATAAGGTGACAAGATGGTATCCCAGGGAAGGAAAAAGGAAAAGAGGCAGACCGCAGAAAAGATGGGACGACGATATAAGAGAAGTGGCAGGAGTGATGTGGAACAGAGTGGCTCAAGAAAGATCAGAATGGAAGAGGTTGGAGGAGGCCTTTGCCGATTGGCAAACAGATCTACAAAAGATAAAAAAGAAGCAAATATTAGATTAAGTTTTATGTTTGTTTTATGTTTTATGTTTGCTTTTATGTTTTATGTTTGCTTTAGAATATTGTTATTAGGTTAAGTTGATCTGAATAAAGGCTATTATTTTTTTTTATTTTATTTTTACGAACTACGAACACGGGGATATAGTATGTCAGCTCATTCAAATTCTAATTGCCCCCCACTTCCCCGCGCGTCGTATGCTATGTACCGACATGTTTGTAATCACTAATACTGTAAGTAGATAGGTCGTTAGACACTTATTTCATTAGGTTTATCATATTTATGGCTGTTTCTTAAGGGGAAATATAATGTCAAATGGCTTGGCAAGATCCTTCGTTATGCCGAAAATATTGCAGCATTAATTTTGAAATAAATATATGGTAAAGTTGAGGATTAATGTTAATGATTATGTTAGACGAAAACAAGATTTCGTAAAATTTTCTCGATAGAAAAAAAATCCAAAGTTACCTCCAAAATAAACAATAAACCGCTGTTATTCATAAAATACTTTAAATAAGATCATGAAACTTTGCATACTAACTGAACTAACTATAAAGCAGTGCTTATGTTATTTACTTTTTTTTAAAATACCATTATTTTCACTGTAAAAAGAAATTACCTAAACTATCGGCGTCTTGAGCTTGATTCCTGTCGCCCGTTAGTATCGCTTAGGCTTTTGAAGGGAGAAGTTGTGTCGCTTACGATCAGAATTTACATTACGCAACAGTACGACGTAAAATTAAAATGGAAAATAACCGTGATAAAAATAAGAAGCGGCTGGCTTGGCGTTAAGAAACAGGCATAAATATGATAAACCTAATGAAATAAGTGTCTAACGACCTTTCTACTTACAGTATTAGTGATTACAAACATATCGGTACATAGCATACGACGCGCGGGGAAGTGGGGGCGAAATTAGAATTTGAGCTGACTTACTCTATCCTCTTAACGCCAAGCCAGCCGCTTCTTATTTTTATCACGGTTATTTCCCATTTTAATTTTACGTCGTACTGTTGCGTAATGTGTATTCTGATCGTAAGCGACACAACTTTTCCCTTCAAAAGCCTAAACGATACTAACGGCTAACGGGTTCGGGGCGACAGGCAGGAATAACGCTTCAAGAGGCCGATAGTTTAGGTAATTTCTTGTTACAGGGAAAATAACGGTATTTTAAAAAAGTAAATAACATAAGCACTGCGTTATAGTTAGTTCAGTCAGTATGCAAAGTTTCATGATCTTATTTAAAGTATTTTATGAATAACAGCGGTTTATTGTTCAGTTTGGAGGTAACTTTGGATTTTTTTTTCTATCGAGAAAATTTTACGGAATCGTGTTTTCGTCTAACATAAACCTTAACATTAATCCTCAACTTTACCATATATTTATTTCAAAATTAATGCTGCAATATTTTCGGCATAACGGAGGATCTTGCTAAGCCATTTGAGGTTATATTTCCCCGTAAATATGCAAAGCGAAACATTGCTTACCAAATGAATACTCTGCGATAACAGGTTGCGGGATGCGAGGCCTTCCAGTAACGACTAATGAAATAGATTCACTTGTCGCAAATAGTGTTATTAAAACCAGTACTAAGGCTTTATTTTTCATCAAGCGCTTCGCTGGAAGTATATTACACGGTCCATTACTCTGTTTATTCATTTAATGATGAAATATGATATAAACCAGATCCGTGTATGATAAACTCACATACAAAAGTTATTATCCCAACGTTTGCTGCCAAATAGTACCATACCACGTTATAGTAAGTAAATATTGTTTCTAATAGACCCTATCTTTATATATTCTCGATTAGGGATTAAAATACTGATGCATTGTCACCAAATGCAAGACAAATAAAAGAATCTCCGGTCATCATCTATCTTTTCTATCATTTGACAGTCCAAAATAAACGTATCAAATATGAAAATGCATTACATATTTTGATCAATAAATAACATTAGAGTTTAAGATAACTTAAACAACACGCATTAATCATGATTTGTGTCGATTCTAAAGAAATTACAAGATTATTTATACATAGTTATGACATTATTGTATTATCGTATCATCTTTTCTTAATACGTCCAAATTTGCAGATTATTTAGAAATCTGAAAGTACGTGTAAACTGAATTTCAAAATTCCATTACATTCATATATAAAAAGAGAAAATCCAAAGGAGAAGCAGGTAACTAATAGGGAGTCAAAATACAAGAACAAATACAAATACCTATATGAACCAGTCATTTTATCCAGCAAGTATAAAGATCACAGCTAGCGTTGAATTGAGGTTTTTCCTTGATCACAATAAGCTTGGCGATCATAGTTTTTTTTTATAGGATAGTAAACCAACGAGCACACAGTCAATCTGATGGTAAGTGGATGCTGCGGTCCATAGATACATTTAACCTCGCTTAAGAATCAAAATGCTGATGCGTTGTCACCCCTGAGGACTAAGATGGAATGCTTAGAATCCAGTAAAGCGGGTCTCCGGTTCCCTCCACTCATCATACGAAATACAGCAGCATTAAGCTGCTATTTTGAGCTGGTATTCTCTTACATTTTTCTTCGTTGACACTTACGACGCCCACGGAACCAAACAGACCGAGACGAAGAGTTGGGTTTTCTTACCTAAAAATATGAAAGTATTGTTTTATAGACGACGAATTCTCGTAATAATCCACCGATCCCTGTCAATAATAAAAAAATCCCCTTTGAACAGAGAACATGTCTAAGTGCTACTATGCTTGGGATCCCATAGTGAATAAAATTTTATCAAAATATAATTTATAATTTGTTTTTAAAATCGATGCATTTATAAATTTATTTACATTAATTAATTTATTTATAAAGATGACTCTTGATGTAAAAGGACGTTTTTCATTATTTACATAGAATACATTTATTATATATTTAATATTATTAATACTGCTGCGTTTCGTACGGTGAAGGTAGAGAACCGGAGACCCTTTTTACCGGCAACGAGACATTCCATCTCACTCCTCAGGGCTGGCAACGCATCTGCATTTTTATTTTTAATTGAAGATAAATGTGGATGTCTATGGACCACGGCATCCCTTTAACATCAGGTGGACTGTGTGCTCGTTTGTCACCCTTATACAGGGTGCACCTGAGAAACTTACTGAATTGAAAAAACTCCCGAGCATCTGGAGTGGGAAGTCCCCAAGTTTGTTTCCCACTCTAGTCAGTTGCCATCATGCTCTGGTCTAGAGAGCAGCGGGCGTTCGCCGTCGAGAGCTTCTTTTCTAACCGTCGTTCACTTGTTTCCCGCAACGTGCCTTCCGCACTCCCTTTGAAATTCCTCCTCACAGACTCGTTCCTGGCCGTAATTCGATTCTGTCGTTGGTGCACTCATTTCAGGAGTGTAGAAGTGTCGCCAAACTCAAGAATGGACATCAACGGACCACCAGAACTCCGAAAAATATCGAAAGAGTGAGGCAGTCAATTCTGCGTTCTTCCCGTCGTTCGGCTCGCAAACATGCAGCTGCTCTGGGAATTTCTGACACCACCGTTCGACGAATTCTCCATGAAGACCTTCAATTTCATCCCTATAAATTGGCTGTTGTTCAAGAATTAACTAAACGCGATTTTGTTGTCCGTCAAAATGCATGTGAAGTGCTGCTTGACAGCCTGCCACAAGACGCGGTCGGTTTTTTCAGTGATGAGGCTCACTTTCACATTTCCGCCTGCGTCAACAAACAGATCATGCGTTATGAGAGTGGTGGAAATCCGTGTGAACTTCACCAGAAGCCACTTCATTGTGAACGAGTTACTGTCTGGTGTGCGATATCGGTAATGGGAAAAATTGGTCCTTATTTTTTTTTTTTGAAGAAAACGAACGCGCAGTTACCGTAAATGCAGCTCGTTACAAGAACATGATCGAGGAATTTTTTCTTCCAAGCCTTGAAGAAATGAACGTTAGGGACGTGTGGTTTCAGCAAGGTGGAGCCACAGCACTCACAGCACGAGCCCCAATGGATTTGTTGCGACAACATTTCCCCGACCGCCTCATCTCTCTTAGAGGCGATCTCCCATGACCGGCACTCTCTCCACATTTGGCTCTATGCGATTTTTATTTATGGGCTTATTTGAAATAGGTACTAGGTTTATGTTGATCGACCACGGACCATAGCTCACCTCAGGAACAACATTCGTGAAGCCATTACCAACATACCGATTGATATGCTGCGAAGAGTGGAGACGAACTTCAGAAATCGACTTAATCAGTGTATGTACAATGAGGGTCACCATTTTACCGATGTCATTTTTAACACTGTATGAAAAAACCTTGGGATAATGTATTCTTAAATAAAAAAAGAATTAAAACAATAACTGAAATACTTTTGTTTTTATTGACCTTTGAAATAAGTAAGTTTGTCAGGCGCATCCTGTACTATAAAAAATAATGTACATTAAACGCAATAAAATACGTAAAAATCATTAAAAATTAGTGATATTTGCAAAAAATATAAGAAAGCTGTAACTAGGTAAGTTGCAATTATTAAAAATATAGATTAGAAAGATGAAAGACCACAAGGCTCAATAGGCGATCACGTTATCTATATACGAGGGTGGATTGAAAAGTACTCGGCCTAACCAAGAAAATAAACACATACTAAATCAGTTATATTTTTATTTTTCTACATAATCACCATCAAGTTCAAGACACTTTTGCCACCTCCCCTTCCAAGCATTTAGACCGTTGAAAAAAATGATTCTTCCTTAGAGTCAAAATATGCGTCTACAGCTGCTTTGACCTCGTCGTTTGTCGAAAATCTTTGACCTCCCAAGTGCTTTTTTAGGTTAGGGAACAGAAAGAAGTCTGATGGTGCCAGATCAGGTGAATACGGCGGATGCGGTAACAGTTCAAAGCCACAGTTGTGAATTTCAGCCATTGACTGTACTGACGTGTGAACACGGGCGTTATCTTGATGAAACAGGACTTTTCTTCTGAGCATTCCTCGACGTTTCTCTTTTATTTCCTCTCGTAAATGACGTAGTAAGGTGCAGTAGTAATCAGAGTTTATAGTCTGACCCCTTTCAAGATAATCAATCATAATCACACCTTTCGAGTCCCAGAATACTGAAACCATCAGCTTATTTGCCGACAAAATCGACTTAGCCTTTTTAGGGGGTGGTGAACCAGGTCTTCTCCACTGTTTTGATTGTTGTTTTGTTTCCGGTGTACAGTAATGAACCCTTGTTTCGTCCATAGTAACAAAACGATTCAAAAAATCATCTGCATCGGCTTCAAATAACTCCAAACAGTTGCGTGAAATAGTCAATCGCGTCCTTTTTTGTTCAACTGAAAGCAGTCGCGGAACCCACCTCGCAGACACCTTGTGGAAACCCAACTCGTTGACAATGATGTTTTGAGTTCGTTCATAAGAGATACCTATAATCTCGGCTATCTCTCTAATTTTTAATCTGCGGTCTCCCATTATTAAATCAAGTACTTTTTTAATATTTTCGTCAGTAGTTGACGTCGAAGGCCTTCCAGAGCGGGGTTCATCTTTCACACTCTCTCTACCACGCTTAAATTCTGCTATCCATTTTTGACGGATGAATATGACAGAGCACAATCGCCTAATGTACTGACCATGTCATCATGGATGGCTTTTGATGATAGCCCCTTCTTATGGAGGTACTTAATGAGGGCACGCTGCTCGATTTGCTCCATTCGCGGAAATTATGTCCGATTACTTTGTTAATAAATTTATAAAATCACAACTAATTATCGCACACGTTTCGAACTTCACACAATGAACTAGTCTGAACTGAACTAAATAATGTGGGTAGATTTGATTTTTTAGAATTGAATGGATCTGTGTTAGGCCGAGTACTTTTCAATCCACCCTCGTAGACTCTACTTTGGGAGATACGTTGGTAGATAGCACATAAAGATAAAATGCCGCTATAGTCGCATAAAGTTGCAAATCAATCATTATATATTACAAAGTTAAACGCTACTGTTTCTATAAAACACATTAATAACAAGAATTCTCAGCGCAATCAACATCACTGTAAAAACTGAGTAACCAATGTTATGAGCCTTAGTTATTAAAGGGATAAACGCTCCAGCAAAAACTTGACTCTTTATAATAGCTTCCTAGTAACAAGCACAATTACATCTACAAAGTAGTGTAGCGTTCAACATTCTATGGATATGAAACAGGTGGTTAATATGAGGTATAGAAAAAGTTCAAATTTAATTGTGTTTTCTGTTAGTTGAGGAATTTAACTAAACTTAAAATCTGGCACTATGCAATAAAAAATGCTATTAGTAAATCATTCACAAAGGTCAGAGTTTGATTTCAGCTGCAACGATTTATTTATATATGAAATTAGCTTGCCAGGCAGACGTTGTTCTGCCCTTTTCGACTACATCCTTATTTTCGCAAAAAAAAAATTGTGGATCACTCACAGGAAAAAAAACTATCCTATCTCTCAAGTTGTGCTAAACTGCACACGGTGTGCAAGTTTGATTCAAATCGGTAAAGTAGTTTAGGAGTCCATCGCGGACAAACAACGTGACACTTAATTTATATATATTAAGGGGATAGAGTAAGTCAGCTCAAATTCTAATTTCGTCCCCACTTGCCCGCGCGTGTATGCTATGTACCGACATGTTTGTAATCACTAACACTGTAAGCAGATAGGTCGTTAGACACTTATTTCATTAGGTTTATCATATTTATGCCTGTTTCTTAACGCCAACCCAGTCGCTTCTTATTTTTATAACGGTTATTTCCCATTTTAATTTTACGTCGTCCTGTTGCGTAATGTGTATTCTGATCGTAAGCGACACAACCTCCCCGTACAAAGGCCGAAGTGAAGTGACCGTGCGGCAGGAATCACGCTTCAAAAGGCCGATAGTTTAAGTAATTTCTTTTTACAGTGAAAATAATGGTATTTTAAAAAAGTAAATAACATAAGCACTGTTTTATAGTTAGTTCAGTTAGTAGGTACGCAAAGTTTCATGATCTTATTTAAAGTATTTTATGAATAACAGCGGTTTATTGTTTATTTTGGAGGTAACTTTGGATTTTTTTTCTATCGAGAAAATTTTACGAAATCGTGTTTTCGTCTAACATAATCCTTAACATTAATCCTCAACTTTACCATATATTTATTTCAAAATTAATGCTGCAATGTTTTCGGCATAACGAAGGATCTTGCTAAGCCATTTGAGATTATATTTCCCCTTAAGATTATATCTCTGTTTACACACTCTGTATACATATAAAAATCAATTGGTATCCGTTAGCCTAGCAAAAACGCGAAAATGGCTCCACCGATTTTGATAAACTTTTTTGTGTGTATTTGAGTGGACCCCTGGATGGTTTAAAAACTCAATTGGACGCGGTAGGTGGCGCTGTTGTCGAGATTCAGAAATCACCCGTGCGAAGGCGGATCGCTAGTTTTTATATAAATTACTTTAAGCACGAATAACAAAGTACATTGGATACTGTGCGGGAAGTGAACACTCCAATAATAAGTTAGATCTTGTATAAAATAATACCACTATCATGATAAAACAGAAGCACATTTATTGCTTATACTGTGGTTGATTTAAAAAAATAAACTTAAAATGACAATCAACCTACGTAAATAATACTGGAAACTTTGCATTGGTACTGTTCGGTGAGTAAACACCCCAACAATAAATTGGCTCTTGTATAAAACAATAGCTCTATTATGATAAAACAGAAGCACATTTATTGCTTATACTGTGGTTGATTTAAAAAAATAAACTTAAAATTGACAATCAACCTACGTACATAATACTAGAAACTTTGCATTGGTACTGTTCGGTGAGTGAACACCCCAACAACAAATTGGATCTTGTATAAAAACAATACCACTATCATGATAAAACAGAAGCATATTTATTGCTTATACGGTGGTTGATTTAAAAAAAATAAACTTAAAATTGACAATTCACGTACGTATAAGTATAATATTGAACCTGAAAATAAATTCTAATACAAAATACATCTGGCAAACATAACGATTTCCATTGTTCGAATAAATAGGATTTTCATTTGTAATATTACATGAATACGAACGTAGTAAAAAATCAAACCAATCAGAATGCGATTGTTGAATGAAATGAACGAGATTGATAATCGAATTACGAACGAAAGTACCGAATGAAAGTGAACGGGCATTGGAATTTCGATCGATATATATTTGAAGGCATTAAGGGGAAATATAACCTCAAACGGCTTACCAAGATCCTCCGTTATGCCGAAAGTATTGCAGCATTAATTTTGAAATAAATATATGGTAAAGTTGAGGATTAATGTTAAGGTTTATGTTAGACGAAAACACGATTCCGTAAAATTTTCTCGATAGAAATAAAATCCAAAGTTACCTCCAAACTGAACAATAAACCGCTGTTATTCATAAAATACTTTAAATAAGATCATGAAACTTTGTATACTAACTGAACTAACCTTAAAGCAGTGCTTATGTTATTTACTTTTTTTTAAAATATCATTATTTTCACTGTAAAAAAGAAATTACCTAAACTATCGGCGCGTAAGCTTGGTTCCTGTCGCTCCGTTAGTATTGCTCCGGCTTTTGAAGGGAGAAGTTGTGTCGCTTACGATCAGAAAACACATTACGCAACAGGAAGACGTAAAATTAAAATGGGAAATAACCGTTATAAAAATAAGAAGCGACTGGGTTGGCGTTAAGAAACAGGCATATATATGATAAACATAATGAAATAAGTATCTAACGACCTATCTACTTAGAGTATTAGTGATTACAAACATGTCGGTACATAGCATCGCGCGGGGAAGTGGGGGGCGAAATTAGAATTTGAGCTGACTTACTCTCACCTCTTAACAATACAATGTACTATTTGTTACCAATGAGAAGTGAATAATGCTAACGTTCGCGACCTAAAAAAACTTTAAAAGCGATTTTAAGACTAAATCAAAACACAAAAATCAAGTTATTTAAGCCTATCCCCATACAATACATCTTTTAGAAATTTCATGAGTTATGTGAACACTAGAGTCACAAAATTGACAGAATTGCAGATGTTTGCTTTCCAATTCCGCTGTCGCATATTGTTTTCAATGTAGAATTTTTATATTATCATTATAAGAGAACAAAATAAATTGCTTTATTTTGTTCTCTTATAATGATTATTTTAACAATCGCAAAATTTCACGGTTCACTCATTGCGAGATCTACTGAAGCTATTTGAAGCACTTTCGAATTTCTCAATTTTTTGT